TTTTATTTTGTTATTTTATTTGAAAATACAATATACATATGTACTTTTTTAGGGTTGCATCACAGAGGGTCTTAAAGGACGGCAAGTGCGTAAAGAGGATGTTTAAATCCAAAATTCATACAACTTTTTTTATTTTCAAAAGTTTTTTAAAACTAAATTTATGTTGAGTGATATTGTAAACAGCAAAAATTTCTCACATATGTACGTTATGTACATACTTTTGTACATTATGTATACCGTCTATTTGTTTTATTTGCGTATAAAAGTATTAATTATTTGCGGAATAATGTGGTGCTGTTCGAGAAAGTGTAAGATTATATTTACAATAAAGTCAGAGGACTGCACATATTAAAATTGTGACTGAAATTATTTAATAGATCTCAGAATTTATGTCAAAGTTTAATACTTTAAATTGTGTTTAGGTCGTAAATCTGAGAATAGAGTAATTTCAATTAATTGACCGGTGGACTATGTCTGATGTCAAATAGTGTTTAGATATACCATTTTCATTGGATTTCATAAATTATAAATCTTAAATTTTGTGTGTAAATAGTAATTAAAATATGTGTTTTGTATTTTAGCTATTTTGTATTTTAGCTAGAGTAAAGAAAAATAATTAGCTATTGATTATGTGTTGAAATCAAGGCATGCATCCTGCTTTTTTTGTGAAAGCATTTATAAAATTGCATATGTATTTTTGGCGAAATGACAATTTTGAAGAATAATTTTATTTGTTGTTTTTTTGGACAAATCATGATTTTTGCCTATTTTCATTTCGAGTTTTCTATACGAAAAGTTGATTAAAATCTAAAAATTCTTATACTAAAATGAAATTTGGAGTTTTTTGAACAACATATCAAAAACTCAAATTTCAACTCAAAATTTAAACTATAATTTTGATTAAATATATTTTCGAGTTTTTTCCGCATTTTTTCTGTACCGCCATGTCAGGCAACATATCTGAGAGAATTGAGAGTAAAAAATGATAATATAGTGAATAAAAAAAAATTTGGTGCTATATTTTTTAGTCTGGAATACACGACTTAAAATAAAGTTAATGAAAACTTTATTAGATTTTAATTTAAGTTTGTAATTATTTGGTTTTTAGTTTTATAATTATGAAAGTGCTTTTAAAATTTTATAATCAATATAAAAAATGTGTCGTTTCAAGTTGTCCCCTATATAAAAACAAACAATAAAAATATTATAAAAAAATTTGTATAAGTTTTAAAGATTTTGATGCGGTAGTTTAGGTAAATCAACGAATAAGCCTTCCTAATAAAACTAAAATCACATGCATACCTAAAAAGCATTGTATGAACTTTTATTAAAAAAAGGAATTCACATATGCAATAATTTTTATGAATTATGAAGCATATAAATTTAATAAATACTCGTATAGTATACACATGAAAAATATATAGACATATATGTGATTATATCAGAATTATGTATTTTGGAAGACTTATCATAGCCACAGACATCTTTATTCTCAAGACTCCGTAATACACAATTTACTAATAGATATATACGGTGTATTCAAAGTTGGTAATTATACTTTTTCTTAAGAAATATATTCTTATATTAGGTATTTTCGAATTAATATGAAATGTTCATATTATTGTTTATTTCGTTTAAATATTAACAAAATTAAATGTCTTGTTCTTTCAAACTAGTTACTTATTACAGGTAACAGATTGCATTATAATAAATTACAAGTAACAAAATATTTTTCAGCTAAAACCAAAATAGTAAATACATAACAAAATTGTTTTTGAATAACCTACATAACATATTTACATAAAAAAAAATAAAATTTTTAATCAATTTTTCTTAAAACTAGTAAATTTTGTAACAAAAATGTATTCAAATAAATTCAACAAAATTTTTTTAATTTTCTTTCTTTAGAGATTAAATGACATACATATGTACCTATTTGAATTGTTCAAATCTCAACGTTACTAAGTAATTAATTAAATTATATTTGCCATAGGCAGAAAAATAGAGTTTAAAGTTTTTACAAATTAAAAATACTTCGGTTGTGTCGAATTCGTTTTTCCTAATGCTTGTATTCATTTATCCCTGACGAAATCGTTCTTTGGCAAAGTAAATGTAAATATAGCATTTACGTTCTCCTTATCTCGCAGAATATTGCTTCTGCATCCATCTACGCAACAACCTCGGGGCATTTATATGACACAACACCTATTTACATAACGCAATCAAATATATTATTATGTTTTATTTAAATACGATTCACCTTTGTTTTATTCTAAATATTATGAACAAAAGACAAAATTTAGTTAATATAAATTATAAATCTTCATTTTATTTAATAACACAAAAAATTAAGATAATTACTCACTAAATTTAAATTAAAATTAAATTTTAACCTTAGCGACACAGCCTTGCCGTATGAAATTTATATATGGACTAAAGAAATGAAGAGTCTTTTTCTGAACACATAACTTTGGATACACACATACGCAAAAATATTAGATGCTTGTACATTATAGGAGTCTATGTCATAGCAAATTCGTTAATATCAAAATACATTTTATCAAAATTCATTTTCTCAAATTTGAAATAATACACCAAAATCAACTAAATAGTTCAAAAAAAAAATTGCGCTATTTTTTTTTTTGTAGTGTATCATTAGTGTTAAATTAAAAAAAAAGAACGGAACTTGGAAGGGGTTTTTTTAAATCAATTTTTTAATGTTTTAATAACACAAAATTTTAAGAATGTAGCACTAGAAAAGTAGAAAAAGATTGAATTTTAACTTGTTCTAATTAAAAATTTGAAAAAAGTTGATCTTGTGGGAGATTTTTAATGTTAAAAAGAGCCCTCTGTAGATCCCATAAGAAGTTGTTGTGCACTGTCACACTCTCTTAGGGTTCAGGCCCGTATTTGTGTCAACCGTGGTTGAAACCAAAGTTCTTAACGTCAAGTTATGTCTCTGCCATTGACAAAATTTGAGGATTTCTAGATTTATGCATGCAATTTTTTATTCCGTGCCATTTTTGGTTGAATATTCAACTGACATTTCGTAAAAAATGGCTCACAGGTTTTTATCAAGTGCCTTAAGTATTTGCCTCTCTATTTTGTACTATGTATTTGGAAAAAAATTAAACTAAACTAAATTTAGGAAGAAAAATTATAACAGTGACAAGGTTAAATTAATGTGTGCGTACTAAAAATAAAATCTGAAATCTGGTGGCGTATTAGATTCGGACTTGAGTCGTTATACATTTTTTGTAATAAAAATGTTATTTAAAAGTTTAAAAAAGTATTCGAAAATAAAAAAAAATTTGATTCTTTTCACAATTTAGGTTTAAATCAGGTTTCGTTAAATGAATTATATTATTTGTTTTAAAAATATTGTGTTCTCAGGTAAAACCGATAAAACTGTAAAAGCGGAGCCTTTTGCTTTTGATTATTGGTGACCACGTCTATAATAAGAAATGTTCACATTACCTTGTTTTCCAACTATTTAATTTATAATTCGTGGAAAGTTAAGAAAATTTTAAAATTTTTGTTCTCTGATGACATGACGTTAGTAGACAGACTCAAATAATAAAATAAAGGTTCTGTTCAAATTCTGCTGTGCGGTAATGGTAGTTTTCATAATGGCGAGTTCCATCGTTTCTATTGCATTTTGACAGTATTTTTGTTTTTCACAAATATCGTAGAAAGTATTGTTACAAGTTAGTTATAGTTATTATTAATTTCCCATATTTCCGGTTATAATTAAAAGAGTTAAAAAATATCTAAAGCTTTAATTTTTCTAAATTTGTCAATTTCTGCAATTTTTTCATAATCTTTTTTAAATTACGTTCTCAAAGTATAATTTGTTTCAATTACTTATTCTCTTCTTTACAAAAGTGAAGAGATAGTTTTTAAAATGTATCTTTATAATGTCACGTAAAAAAAATATTTCAAGTGAAACACGGTTGAAATTTTTTTTTGCTATTTTTGTTTTAATAAGTAGTGAAAATGTAGTGAAGATGGTTTAAAAAGAAATACACTTTTTCCGATTTTAATTATGTGGTATCAAGCAGAACTGAATAAGCTCTTTTATTTAGCTTTGAATGATTTAAATCGTATATATATGACTTAAAACGTTCACTTATATATGAACATAACCATAATGAACCATTGAATATGAAATTAAGAAATGAATATGAAGTTTCATTCTGCATGGATTTGCAATTTGAAGCAAAACATTGAAAAATAGAATACATTCTTAATTTTAAAAGTGTGTAACATCACATTTCAATGCCTCTTAAAAAATTTTATGATCTCGAAAAGTGAATAATTGTTCACAATTTTTACAAAAATTTCTAAAGGAATTGGCTACTTATAATGTTTTTCAAGGATTTTTTTTTAAAACTGCTGAAAAAAATTTTCTTGTGTAAATAATTGTGTCAATGTTAATGATACAAAACAAAAATAAATAAAATAAATTTTATTAAAGCTCGCTTAATTTTAAAAAAGCCTTATGAAAAATTGGTAAGAATTTATAAAGTAGATCTTTTCACATAAAAGGATCTATAAAATAGACCTTTTTTTCTCACAATAAGTAATTAGTATGAAAAATTTAGAAAAAGAGATACAGCACAAAGTATTTTTTTTTGTGTAAAAAAAGAATTGGATTGAATAAGGAGGATGAGAACCTGCTAACATGGAGTATAGAGTTTTCGTATGAGCAGTTTCTCTGCTTTAAAAAAAGTAACATTAATTTGAATTTCTTTTTGTGTAAATAAAATTAAGTAAAATTGTTTTTTTTATATTTGTTTTAGAGAATTCTAAAAAAAAAAATTAATTTTGTATGTATTTATTAGCACGATATTTAAGATTAATTATAATTTTTATAGAATATATATTATAGCTTGTATGTTTTACTTTGAATTCTTTCAGTTACTTTTTTACATTAATAACGTAATCAAGCTAATTCTAAGATACATTCCACAAATCCATTTTTCTACATTTTATTTCAGCTCCAAAATTGGAAAAACTCTCTCGGGAAAATCAACAGGCTCAGGAGAAAATATTTTTGCTTGAGGATTCAACTTTACAAAAACTACCAGACTACGCCGAAACTTTACTGAATATTTTTATGCAATCAAAACAACGAAGCGAAATTGAGTTGCTTATTGCTTTAATATATTGTATTGCCTTGGAATCTGGTTTTGCTGTTGAAAGCTGCTTAAACTCGAATGATAATGAAAATTTACATCTATCATTTTTTTATGGATCAACATATAACAAAATATTTGCAGAAACTTATTCATCACATTTTCCTGATATATTGCCCGATAAAATTAATCAGAATTTCTATAAATTCACTTTACTTCTTGCTAATTATCCTCAATACAAATGCGTTTTCGTAGCTATTCGTACTGGCGAATATTTGGTTGTTACATTGACAAATTGTCACAGTCCTGGCTATAGCTGGTGTTTATCAGTCCCAAGATATGTTTTGACAAGAACTTCAAATAATTTTCAAAGATTGTTTCGGAATTTGCAAGAACTATCAATGCTAATGAAAAATCACTTATTTGGACCTGTCAGAAATCTTATTTTAGCACAATCGAATAATTTATTTCCAGGGCTAACAGGCTTACCAGTTGAACTGTGTTGTGTAATTTTGCGAAATTTGAATAATACAGATTTACAAAGTTTATCTAAAACATGTTGGAAATTGAGATGCATATGTGTGGATTATTACGTATTAAAAGATAAACCTTTGATTAAACCATATGGATCAAAGTATCCTCAAACATTAGATAATTCGTCGTCAGCTATACTTAGACACTGTGTTTAAAAATTAAAAATGCAATAGCATTTCAATAGTTCGACTACAATTGAAACTTTAAATTGATGAAATTTAAGATTCAAGTAATCAGAAATGTGTCGCAAAATATCAATTTGCATCATTTACTTTTTCTGTTTAAAAAATTTTAATAAAGTTTTACAGTTTTAATATCAATTTTCGTCACGAATTTCTTGAGTTTCGTTTTCTAATAGAAAGCTTCTATTGAGTTTCGTTTTCTAATATAAACCTTGTATTCATAAAATTAACAATGATTATAATATGGTATTTTCATTTTGAATGCCTATGCTGAATACTTTTTATCTAGTTTCCAAAAATATTTGTTTTTCGTAAAAACATAATGCTATTTTTTAATTTCAAGTAAATACATACATAATTATGTGTGTATGTATGATTACTTGAAAAAAATTGTAAACATGAATTTTCAAAAGGGCTTCCAAAAGTTATGATCACTTAAGTTGGGTACTACTAACATAATTAATACGTATTCATGTCTGGGAATTTAATTTTTATAAAATTGCTTTAAAAAATTTCGTTTAAAGAAGTTCATTTAACTTTAGTGTGAAAGTTTTAAAAATCTGTACATGATAAATATTCTTCAAAGTACATATGTCACGTACACACGCGATGAGTGTTTTGCTCAAAATAGTTCAACTTACGTACTAGTGAATTACAACTTAAGCAATTAGTGAAGAATCAATAAGTTTGGATTACCAATTATGCTTATAAATATTCAGTACCATCACTTTTTTTTGGAAAACATGAGAAAAATGTAAGAAAATAGGTATTCTACAAAAATAAATTTCTTATCGGACACAAGTGATAAGACTACATTGTTCAATGAATTATTTAGACAGGTAAAGCAATAAACTTTTTTTTTTTATAAAATACAAAGAAAAATATTTTTTTGAATTAAAACCAAAATTAGTTCCATAATTTCCTTGTAAATTTTGATTTATTTTTTTATGTAACTGTGTGGTGAACGAAAATAAAATTAAAAGTCTAGTTCTGTTGATATAGCATAAGTAGATTAAATAAGCACATTATACATAAATATGTATGTAGATGTGCATAAAAACGGAATGGAACAAGGATTTTTTCCAAAAATAATTTGGTGGCATTAAAATTGGTATTTGATTTAATATCTAATTTTTACCGACCGCATTGTATATACCATAGTTAGGTTTTGGCAACAAATTTTGCATATCAAGTTTTCGGTGGGAATGCACTTCTTCACGGTAGGGAAGTGTAAATAAACTATTTTTAGCAACCTGTGGGTCTGTTGGTCTGTGTATGCACGCGTGTATCTCAAGTTCGGCTGAACCGATTTTGATGAAATTTTATACGTAAGTTTCCGTGACTTCAATAATGCTTTAAAAAAGATTTAAGTACGGTATTAATACGGTATTAGTACCGTCTCAGAGCTTTCAGTACCTTTACATTGTAAAAAAAACTACTAAAGCTTTTGATACATTTTGGAATACAATTTTTACCATATCAATACAACTTTGACATTTGTTTGAAAATTTCAATTTAAAGTTCTGTGCAAAAGTTAATTTTAAAAAAAAATGAATGTGTTCGCAAATATTGTTGTAAATAATTCAATTGATTTTAATAGTAGCAACAGTTCAAGTAATTGCAGCAATTTTAATAAAATTAAACAAATAATAACATTAAGAAAGCATTTTTTCCAAAATAGCATTCTTATGCTTTATTTTGGAAAAAACTTGATAGCTACCACTTTATTGCTGAAAATATATGCTAGTTTATTTTATCGGTTATTTCTGGTAACATTTATTAGGCAATGTATAAGAAAAGCGTGCTCGATTTTTTCGATACCCGATTTACTTTTATTTTACGTCTCCATTACGTATAAAACGCATTTTGGAAAAGTGTACAATGTCAAGAGCTTTTAGTAAACTTTTTGGAATTTGATACTTTGTAAAAATTTACGTCTTAAGCGCATTATTGAAGTCACGGTTTATTTCGACTATGGGCGGATTGATCAACTTTTGGGATATATCAGGTTTCGAAAACCGGACCTTTTAACGGGCTTGTTTTACATTTTTAGTCATTTTGACTTAGACATTTTGACACATAAACTTCATTCGACTGTCTGCGAAACTTCTTAACTTTTGGAAGAAATCGGGTGTCAACAACTGGACGTTTGTTACGGGTCAAATATACATTTTTCCTGACAATATATTACTTATATACAATATATTTCATAACAATATATTACTGATATATTGTTATGAAACCTTTGTTGTACGATTCGCGCAAAATGCTTGTGGTCATTATCTTGTTGATAATTCCAAATTAGAGGCATACTATTTTCGGCCTAGGGAAACATAATATTTTCTAAAATTTCTAGATAATAATATTTTCTTTTATCAAATATATCAAATCCCCACACTATACCAAGAAAAACAATCCCCAAGTCATTATATTGCCGCTATCATGTTTTATGGTCTTAAGTGTGAACCTGGGTTTTAATTCAGTATTTGGTGGACGTCTAACGAAGGTACGACTATCTGGCCAAATAAATTAATTTTTGTTTCGTCTGACCAAAGAATATTGCGCCACTTTTTTACATCTTCTGGCCGAATTCACTCTGAATAATTTTTAGCAAAAGTTATTCTATGTTTAATTTTTTTTTCTGACCCAGGGACCTTTTCTAGCTTCGCAATCAAATAAATTATTTTTATATATTATTTTGCGTAAGGTCCTAGTAGTTCAATTAGTAATATTTAGTAATAATGTGAGTGCTAGAACCAAACGGTAATTCTCAAATAAACTTAAAAATTAAAACAAATAAAAAATTCGATCACTGTAAAGTTATACTCGCAATAATTTTTAAATGAATTTTGAAGTGTTTTAGTCATAATTCAATAACTATGCAAATTTCAAAAAGATGAAAAAATCCAATTGAAAAAGTGAGTAAAAGGATGAGAATCCTGATTTGATACCAACTAAAATACAAACTACCAAATCAACCTGTCGTAACAATAGACTAGATTAATAGACTGGGAGTAGAGTTTATCTTTCGTCTTTTCTCTTATGGGATTTACCATCCATCCAATTTCCGTAAAAAAAGGTATGATTTGGTGACTCAGATGTTTTTGATAACTCATTATTTTAATAAAATAAGACAATTTTTAAAATGAGACTACTAGAACAGGTTCCTTAAAAGAATATTAAAATATAGGAACGATATTTCAAAGTGAAGTAAAACTATTGCTTTTAATAAAAGAAGAAAACAAAATATTTTGTATCATCATTAAATATGTATTTTAGTTCATCCAGGTTCTTTTCGTTTCTTTATTTTACTACCATTGGAATAGTATTTTAAAAGGTATTTTTTAATGCTGGTTTTCGCTGCAGCAATAATCAACTAGTTATATTCAACATCATAAAAACTTAATTGAATAAAACTTGAAATATCAAAATATATGTATGTACATTATTATAAATGTATTATTATAAATTATTATAATAATAAAAATATTATTATAAAATTCATTATAATAAATTAAAATATAAAAAAATTACTTTTTTAATTAAAGTACAAAAAAGTTACTTTTTTAATTAAAATCTAAAAAATTCGCAATTTACGATAGTCAACATTATTAAAAAGTATGTATAGCTTTCTAGAAAGTAATATAATGCATCTGTCTAGTTTATGTCTTTACATATAACAAGTCCCACCCAATACGAAATTTTTTTTACGAAATATTACGAATTCTTGCCTTCGTTTCTGTTTTTTTCTTTAAATGCCACTGATCGTGTCATATTTCTTATTTTTTTTCTTTTTTTTACGTAAAAAAGAGTTTAATATTTTAAAAAATCTCAGGATATTATACACATTTTTTAAAAAGCTGCCCATTTATATTGTATTACACGAAAAAGAAAGAAAGGTAGGAAGAAAAAAAAAATTAAAAAATTTTTCAAATTCATATTTCAGTATGGTTTCAAATGTTAATGAGGAAGGATGTATGATTCTTCATGTACATTTTGTATTTTTTATATTATTATTTTAAAACTACATATTTCAAATATGTTATACTATTTATTTTAAAAATAAAAAAGATATTCGAATCCGGTTATAAAACTATATTATTGTCTTTTCCAAAACCATAGCGTATAACGAGAGAAAATTCGAATAAAGTGAAATGTTTTCCAGAAAAAAAATTTTATTCTAAATGTATTTTTCTATATATGTATGTGCATATGTATGTATCATATTTTTGGAATTGTTTTTTCAAATAAAAGAGAATTTTGAAGGATTTTTTTTTCACAAATTACATTTCAAAATATTTATTTAAATTGACAACTGTTGCTTTGTTCTTTCTTTAAATAGTTCTCAAAAATAATAGCAAAAATTTCGACTTAAAACATGTTAATGTTGAGTGGAATCTGATCTCCATAACATGTTAATGCTATGAAAGCTCGGAAAGAAAGGAAAACATGAGCATGAATAAAATGTTTTCCTTTATTGTGAATTATAGAAAAACATGTTATTCTCCTTCAGCGTGAATAAGGAATATGTAGACTAGTTAGTGTGAATATAAGGTATGTATAAACTGTATAGATAAAGTACAGACTAGTATCAAGTCTACGGTGTAAATATGTAGACATGAATACGTGATACTTTAATGCAGTATAAATATTCTTTTTTAAAATGTCCATTACATTATTGACGACTTTGAAATATAAATATTTAAATTTTTACAATTTTTATCATCTCCTAAACTTACGAGTTAAAAGCCCAAGTATGAAATTGAGCTCTTAACGTTTCTAACCTTATATTATTGATTAATAATCATAATTATATATGCAACTTTTATCCGATATATTTTCAAATTGTATAATGCTTTTATATTAGGATTAATTAAATTAATATTAGGTTATGTCCCATTCACACTACAGTGAATAACATATTATTCTCGAACAACTTATTATGAATAGTGTTTTAACTACAAATTTTATATGGAAAAATTTGTCAAACTGAAATATGTTTCTTAGCGGATTTGCTATGTAATTCGATTTTCGTGAAACGACTTTCGTATTCAGAAAAAATCAGTGTTTGAAATTTTATTATTGATCGCTCACATTTTGTTGCGTATGATACAATACAGAAATAAAATAATGAAGCGAATATACAGCCGC